GACTGTCACCCTGAATAAAATCGCTCCACTGCTCTTCACCTACCCTCTGTTCTGCTTGTAGATTGTAGGGGATGCCGTGGGCTGGGGGTTTGTGGTCCGAGGAGGGAGACCCTGCCACATCCAGGCTGTGGACCCTGGAGGACCTGCTGCTGCAGCTGGCATGAAGGTATTGTCTTCTCTTGCCCTTTCCGGTGCGTTAAACCCAGTGGGCCAAATTCATCCTCAATTGCAGTGGGAGGAAAGAATTAACCCATAGTCACTATCATGTTTTAAAGCATGTCTCTCCTTGCTGGCCGTGTGTTATGGTGCTTGGCTCTTTTCAGGAATATATGGAGAACGGTGAGTGCTGTTGTTTTACCTCCTAATCCTTGAAGAGCGAGAGAAGCCGATGGTAGGAAGTGAATGCAATCCATTGCGTTACCGCTCTGATACTTTTTTGCTTCTGCAAGCCACTGCCAGCAAGTGCCCGTGTCACTTAATACCTGATGGGTGCTTGAAAACAAGCCGTGGCTTGTAGGTCCCCTGACTGGTTTGTTCTGAAGGATTCCTTAGCTTATTTAATATTTTAATTATTTAATAGCTGCTGGCTCTGCTTGGAAGAGACCCAGGACAAAGCTGTGCTCCAGAAGACAAGAGGGAGTGCTTTGTCACGGCGGTGCACGGGGAGCGTGGCTTGAGCCAGTGTCTGCTAGCAGCAGCATGGTCACTGTGATTTTCCCTGTGTCGGGGTTGTCCACACAGCCAGCCCATTTCCCAGACATCACTGCTTGAATGAGAGGAGAACTCATTAGCTGGCTCTTATCACCACTTTGCAAAGGGCGCATGCATTGCAAGCATTGCATATTGCTCACCGGATATGTTCTCTTCCCTCTCTCGTGGGAGAAGCCGTCTTGTGTAAAATGTGGGCATTTCATTTTTGTCCTAAATTAGGATGAAAAGGGAAAAATATGGACACTCCCCGCTGAGGAAGGTGAGGTGGGGAGGAGAATTAAAAAAATCTTTGTTCAGATTTGGGGTGCTTGGTCTGTGCCCTGGACTGGAACTGCATCCACCTGAGTTTCCTCGGAGCTGGCAGGAGTCACAGGTCAAGTGTCTCGCACCTCTGTTCAGTTCTGTGGGTTGTTTTACCTATGAAGTACCATGGTCACAGATTTCCCATCACCCGCTGCAGGGATTCAATTAGGGAGACCTAGCACATCCTGAAGTCCAGCTCAGAGGGAAATGGTGCAGAGACCCCTGACCTGCAGCTCAGCTGGACACAAGGTCGTGTCAAAATAGCTAGATCATTCAATTCAAGGAACCAAACTGGATTTCATTTGGCCTAAAATTGTTTCAAGTTTCCTGATGTAGAATTGAATAATTCGGTCAAAACTGGAATTGGAAAGCTTTGAAACTGCAATTTAAGTTAAAAAAAAAAAAATCAATAGAAAACTCCAAGTCCAGTTCTAATAACTTCATGGAATTAATTTACATTAGGGAAA